ACATAGATAAACACATATACACACATACACACATATAAACACATATACACTATAAGCACACATATGTGTATAAACACGCATACACCTGTGACAGCTGCTCAAAGGCACAGCATGCCGGAGCAAACCCCACTGCTCAGACCCTCACAATGGAGGTCTGACCATCAACTAGGGCTGCCTTTGCCCTTCAGGGGACATCTGGTGGCATCTGGAGATGTTTTTATAGTTGTCACAACTAGGAGAAGGGGATGGTGCCTCAGGACTGAGTGGGTGGATATTAGAGACAATGCCAGGCAGACGGCCATGCACAGGACAGCACCATGACAAAGGGCCCAAATGTCATGGGGTGGAGGTGGAGGAAACCTGGGTTCAGGAGAGGGCGGAGGCCCTGGGTCGATGACCCCTCCAAAGGCCATTAATGTGTCAAGCCCAGCTGCCACTCTTCTGCTACAATCCCACAGGCTTCTCCCAGAATACCCCTAGCCACACCCCTCCCCCAAGTCCTCCCTGACTCCCTGAGACCCGGGAGGGCATTCTCCTCTTGTGTGGTCACCTCCATACTCACATACTCACCTGGGGTTCTTCGACAGGCCTGTTGCTCACCCGGAAGCAACGTTCCATGTCAGCTCGCTGGCGTGAGATCAAAGCCTAGCTCTTCCACAAGCTCCGTGGCTTTGGGCAAGTCTCATAGTTTCTCTGTGCCCCAGCCTCTCTGTCCATAAATGTTTAGAGTCTCTGCTGTGTAAACCAGGTGAAACAATCTATGTGAAGATTAATGGGTAGCACAGGCCTTGTTAAGTGCTGTGTTACAGTGAACTGACCCATGAACCAGCACTGGGAAGGAGGCCTCCTATTGCACCCCGAGGTTCTCGGGAGGCAGTTCTGCCACACACCACACACGGCAGTCCACCAGAGCCCTGGCCTACCCTCCCCCAGACCCGAGAGCAAGGGTGGGGGACCCAGGCAGGATGTATTAATCCCCTCTTGCCACTTTGCAGATGCTGTATCCCTGATATTCCAAAATGTGTTGCCTCGGTTTCCTCATTTGTCAAATAGGATGGATGCCGTATCTTCATAAAAAGCCAAATCATGGCAGTTTTGATGATGGTGACTCTCATGTGCCCTCAGAACCCATGGCAGTGTCTGGCACTCGGGAGCCCAGAGGAGGTTTGTGGAAGGAAGAATCAAAGAGAAGGGCAGGAGGCAGCCTAAAGGCAGAGGCTAGATGTTGGGAGAGAAAATGGCGTGGTTCTAATAAAGTCCTGGGGAGAAGAGACTGTGGAAGGCACAGCAGCCCAGGCCCAAACAACCTATGGCCCTGTAATTAGGTCAGACTCCTGAGAGATCAGCACACACCCAGGCCTGGGGCAGGGGACAAAAAGGAGACCCCCACAGCTGCAAGAGCAAGTCTGAGAGAGGGAGAAAACGGAAAGTGGGGAGGAGCATCGGGAAGGGCCATCTGAAAGCATGAAAGAGCGGAGGCTAAGAATAGAGAGGGAGGGGAGGAGAGAGACGGGGCTCTACAAAAGCAAGGCTTGGGGGATCAATGAAGGGAAGGAACTTAAGGGAGGGAACCGGCTGTTGAGGCAGAGAATAAATCTCAGAATAAATAAGAGTGGTAGAGTTTAGCAGGAAGGACTAGCAACCCAGCTACCCGGGGGGAGATGCCAGTCACCAGCCAGTCGCCAGCAAGAGTGGTGAGCAGGCTAGGGTGAGCCCTGGGGCCCCCGCAGGAGTCAGGGTCTGGGAGCACACTACCACCTCTTCAACTTCAGGGTCTGCTTTTTAGGCCAGGATGCTTGGTTAGGGACGGGATGGCAAAGACATTACAGCTGCACGATCTCACCATGCCTCAGCCACCTAGCTGGCACGCATGCCGCCAAGAGAAGCAAGAAAGCAAGACTGCAAAAACTGTTAGTCCAAGGCGCTTCTGGACAGTGGGAGGATTTTATTAGCCTGGTGCCAGAGGGCACTGAGTTTAGGCTGGGCTGTCTTGTTTGCCTGCTCTCTTTCTTTTTTCCTTGTCGTGTGTGTGTGTGTGTGTGTGTGTGTGTGTGTGTGTGTGTGTGTGTTTCTGTTTCTGTTTTGCTTTTGTTTTCTGGCTGGAGGCAGGACTTCCAGAGCTCTCTCCTAAAGAGAGATGGCCTGGCAGTGACTCTCTTCCCAGGACAACTGACCTCCCACCTGCCCGCAGACTCCCAGCCCCAGAGCACGGGCTCTGTCCACCTCAATGTACGGTGATTGTTTCTGAAGCCCGGGTCTGTGCAAAGGGCCTTTCCGGGCAGCCAGCCAGAGGTGGCCACTTGAGAAGCCCGCCCCTACCTTCGCTTGTACCCCCTTCTCTTGAAGCCAGGCTTTTCATAGTGACGGGGGGGGGGGGAGCGGAGGGGCGGCGAGGGGGGACCTAGATGCGGCGAAGTCTGGCCAGGGGAGTAGTGGGGACAGGGTCTAGTCGGCCACGGGTGCCTCGGGGCAGCCGAGCTGCCAGGCAGGGAGGGATCCTGTTCCCCTCCTGAGGGCGCTCCCTTCGCGCGGATCGGGGCTGGGAGGAGGAGGAGGAGCACTCCCCCGGGGGCTCTCCGGCTGCC